CAAGCAAATATACGAAAGATTGGAAACAAATAATAAAAAAAAAGATTAGAGTACTTTTGCCACGAAAAAGTACTAGGAAATATATTCAAATCGTACTTGATTGTTTAATGACCATTCGTTTAACAAGTGTTGAATTAAAAAGAGTATTCTCGGGATCTGGATTATTTTGTACAAAAATTAGAAGAAAATTAAGAGATAAGACTTTAAATAATTTAAGTTTCAAATGGTAATTAATAAAATTGTATTAGGTACTATATATTATTTCTGTTGTATTTTTACTTTTCTGTATTATTTTATTTCTGTTTCTAACAGTTATTATTATAGTTTGTTTAGAATAACACTTTAATTTTTATATTTTTTATATTCTATATTTTCGAAACAAAAAATGTGAAATTAAAATTAAAATGACATTCATTTTTTATCACCTTAATTTTATTTTTCAGGAAAAAATTTACCGGTAAACCGGTATTTTAGTTTACATTTACCGAATTACCGGTAAATGAAAAAGTCGGTAAATTTACAATTCCTACGGTCAAGTATCTCTGATCCAGACAGGAACGGTTCATGTAGCATAAATAAACAATACGAGCTAACTATTACTTTTAAGTTCTGTAATTACATTCAGCGAATTAAAAAATATAGTTAAAGTACATTTTCATGTGAAAGGCAATTTTTATATAGACTAGTGTAATTAGTGCTGGATAAAAAACGTTTTCTGACAACAAACTTTAATTTAGTTTAAATGAACGTCGTCTGTGCTTACTGCACGCAACTAATACCGTGTATAATGAGTACATTTTAAATAGAATTTTTCAATTATTTTAACAAACTAAAAATTCATATGAGCGTCATCTGTATTCATTGCACGCAACTACAAGCACACACAGGCATTTTCTAATGGAGTTTTTCAATTATAATATTGTTTGATATACAAAATGTATACAGATATAAAAAAAATAAAATTTAGCAAATGTACGAACAAAATATTAAGAAGATAATTCTCTTTACATACTAATGACAGATGATCATATAAATTCTACTTTATTTTTCAGATTATAGCACTAAGTAGTACTAATTACCAACTACTGCATATTGTTAATAATTTTTCCTTTGGTTTTGTGTATTAACAAAATTTTGATTTTTTTTTCATGTTTTAGATGGTAAGATAATACCAAACTTATCTGATGATATAGTTGAACCTGTGTGTCACAAAAAATGCAAATTATGTGAGAAAATGTCTGAAACTAACAAACTTAAAAAAGTTAGAACGTTATGACCGTAATATTTAAACTTGACACAATTTTAATTTTGCATAAATGTTTTTTATGTAAAAATCACCTAAAATGTACTAAAGTGGACTACAGTTTTATTACTAATGTTTTGTTTTATTCCTATTTCCATTTAATTCAGGCGAGTCTCTCTCACATAAGATGATCTAATTAACCTATAGTAATAGGGAATAGATGAACCACTTGAATATTTATTTGTTATGCGACTTTTACATTTATACTATTAATTATTGTTAGCATATGTTAGTAGCATACTTTAGTGATATTTTTTCATTAACATTGCTATAAATAAGATAAATATAGCAATTTTTAAAAAGATGGTCAATATCTCTCAAATGTACAATATTGTATGTAACAATTATCTGTATAATTTTAGAACTAAAAAGCAATTTAATAAAAAGCAATCTACTTACTTTTTGTCATTAAGCAAATGTATTTCGAACGACAAAAGTTTATAGAAATTTTTTTCAAATATTTATCACGAAAGAAACAAATCAGTTAAATTTTCAACAGAATAAAATATTTACTTTATGTTTTATAACTGCACTTTCTTTATGATCGATAATAAACATTTTAGTCGTATGAATTCTGGGATTTAATGTTAGAGTGATATTGTATATGCTAGTGAAATTAAGTAGGGTCAATGATGATGATGTATAAGACTTTAGTAGTTTATTTATTTTTTGAAATTCTCTTTTTTACAAGTCGTAAGTATTAAACATTTTTTTAAAAGATGAATTCGTAAATTTAATTTTGAAATAAACATTGTTAAATAATAGTCATTGTTCTATTCATGGTCATTTAAACAAATTTCTGACTGTTAGTCAAAGATTTGTTAAAATGACCATTAATAGAAAGTAAAGATATGGCCATTGATTTTACATTATAGTGTATGTATTATTGTTCAAAAAGTTTTTGAAAACATGACACTGTTTAGATATATTCGTTGTTCAGAAAGGGGCCATTATCGATAGCATATAACTGTATGATATTAAAACGAAGTTTTTTTTACATATCTTTACATGAACAATAATTTTTAACGTGTATACTCTAGTACAGTAGAAATTTAACATTAATATTTATTTAATTAACAACAATCAAATATTTAGTAGAATATATTCGAGTACAAATACCCCCATTAGCCTACATACATCCATGCAGTATAAACATAAATATTTATCAAGAACATAATAACTTAAAAAGCAGTTCCAGAACAAAACATTCTAGAGTTGCTATCGACCGCATAGTCAGGTAAGATTGCTTTCTTCCACGTTGAAATAATAAACGAGCAAGGTAACGTAAAATCAGTAATCAATACGGCGCGGTATTCTTAGTGCAGTGTCTGTATAGGTAAGAGAAATTGTGTGACGTCACATGCACCCTCTCTTTAACGTAAAAGTAAAGTTAGTATTATAGTTTAGTTTAAGATAATACAAAATAAAATAAACAATAATAATCAAATTTTGAAAATCACGATAAATTAATTACATCATTCCAGAAATTAAGTCTTAAGAAATATTTTTTACTTTATGTTTCACACAATAAAAAAATTTATGGTCTCGTCTTTCATACACTTGTATAATACACGAAATACAAATCTTTTTCAGAAATAATTACAAATTTACTATTATTCATCAGTAAATAACTTTCATCACATCTCAGTGAAAAGTAATCGTTTCCCGTAATAATTTATATCAATGGACAAGTAATTTCCTGCAAACAAATGCTATATTCATACTTGATTCTGTAAAGAAAATACATAAAAGTATTGTTATAAATCAAAATGAAAATTTGATTAAAGGCACCTTAAATTTTTCACATGTGATATAACACAAAAAAGTATTTGAACATCTTTCTATAAGCAAATAAAAATGGTAGAAAAGCTGCTTAGTAGTTACGTTTATCCATAATTGCAGCTTCTACAACAGATTGAATAAAATAGTTAATAAACTTTCTATTATGCAATTCATATAAACCCAGAATATTGTATAAAAAAATTAAACAAAGAATAAATCTACATATTATATGAGAATTTTTAAACTCGACAAAAACTGTTTATTGGCATCTGTTTAAGTTAACTTTTTGACATTAACAGATTATATTTAAATAGATTCAAGCCATTTAACAGTACTGTTCGAATATATTTTCTATATAGGCCTAATAGTAGATATATTTATCTATTATAATAAACGACTAAAAGTGAAGAACAGTTTCGTAATCTGCTGGGAATGTCCATAATGGTTCGATTCAATCCTCAGAGTTGAAAGACAATTTGTCGCAATTGTTTTCAATCACTTGATTTACTTAGCTGATTTAATGCTTCTTTTGTTCTTATTATACCTTGCTGATTTCAGTTTGCTGTCTTAATTATTAATTGTCACTAGTAGCAGTTTAGATGGAATCAGAAATCTTGTACCCAAAGTAGTAATAATCAATAGCACAAACATCTTTATCTCGATCTGATATGCATTCCCTTATATAAAAGTAGAAAATAAAATCTGTTTTTTTATGATAAGTTTTCTGCAGAAATTTTGTGCTTAATTCCACATAAAATACAACCAAAAAAGAAAACAATAGTCAAATATAACTAAGTATAAGGTTCGTACAGTAGATTCTGAATACTCAATTTATAATTTAAGTACTTTTTAGTACACTAAATCTCTATTTATTCAATTAATTGTGATATGGTTTTAATGCAGTTATACGAATGGCACACATTAGTTTCCAATAAAATTAAATACTACTTAAACTAATAAATAATACTGATTCAATGCGATTACAGAAGATTATGAGTAGAATAGACATTATTCATAATTCTAGAATAATCATAAATTAGAAGCCTTTAGAGTTTATTTTTTAAGCTAGTTTAACCATACATGTGTAAAGTGACTATTAGTATAGACAACTAGAAATTCGGTTGCTCTTTGTTGCTTTTTTATAGGTAAAGTTTGGTTTTGTGTAAAGAACTTTTTCTATGGCAATAACTTGCAAAAAAATATAACAGGCTGCATTCAGATCATGGTATGAAATAAGTGACAAATCTGAATGCAACATGATAAACTCTTTGAAAACTCTCACACCAAATGCATGAAAAATGATTTTTTTTAATTCTACCTCATTCAGTGATATTGTTTTCGTGTTAAAGAAAGGACAAAGATCAAGGTAAATCTTATATCCAGACATATAGAACATCATGAATAATTTGAAATATAACAAAAAATGGTGTATAAAATAGCAGACTAAAATGTATATATCAAAACAGTATAGCGTTTTCAATAATTGATGAAAAATAATTTTTAATTTAATGTTTTCAGAAAGAAAACTTACACTTAATGAAATTTCTATAAAATTAATTTTTCAGCATACTTAATAATGTAATTAATAATAGAGTCTTTTGAGTAAACAAACAAATTCTTTTCTCATTTTTTGTCAGACCAGATATACTTTTTGCACCAAAAAAATTTGAATACCGCCATGCGTTGATTGTTAATTAATGGAGACTGATTAGTTTTAAACTGAAAAGTTGCGATGAGTTTTTTATGAGATTCTTTTGATAACCATTTTGTTGTGCTATTTGTATAATGTACTCTAATTCCTTGTAAGTATCAAGTATATCTGTGCAATGAGTAAAAGCTCGTTTGATCCACGATCGGAAAGCTGTATATTTAAAGTGTCTAGGATCCATTGAATTATATGGTATGATGATGTTATTTAGGCCCGGTTTTCTGTAGATGTTAGTGCATATTTCACCTCTTTTGCATATGATGTTGACGTCAAGGAAATGGACATTAGTAAAGCTTCCTGGTCCAGTCGCAACTTTAAACCGTAGTTATTATTATTGATGTTATTTAAGAAAGCAAGGACGTTGATATTATCTTTCCAAAGAATAAATACGTCGTCAACGTATCTAGAATAAAGAATGACTTCTTCCTTGAATTCCGGTAATAAAGAATTTTCTAGTTGACATAAAACCAGATCGCAAAGTATGGGTGACATAGGGCTGCCCATAGGAACTCCCCTGTTTTGTAAGAAAATATTTCCATTAAATTCGAAGAAGGATGTGTGACAGATTAATTCTGTGAGTTCCAGAATGTTCTTACGGTATTTTTCAGAATTCTCTATGTTGTTAAGCATAAAGTCTCTTAGGGCACAGAAACATGGTGGTAGTTTTATAGATGGATATAACGAATCAAAATCCATGACCGTCATATATTCATTGTCTTTGAGATCAATATCTTTGAGCTTCTCTATTAGTTGCAGTGCATTAGTGATGGTATATGGGTGACGTTTTCTTTGGAACGAATGAAGTTAACTAGTTGCTTTTCAATAAGAAATGTTGGAGAACTGCATTTCTCTAAGCAACTAGTTAACTTCATTCGTTCCAAAGAAAATGTCCACCCATATACCATCACTAATGCGCTGCAACTAATAGAGAAGCTCAAAGATATTGATCTCAAAGACAATGAATATATGACGGTCATGGATTTTGATTCGTTATATCCATCTATAAAACTACCATCATGTTTCTGTGCCCTAAGAGACTTTATGCTTAACAACACAATAAATTTAAGAGGGGTTGTGGGGAGGCGAGGAGAAAGAAGGAGAGAGTCAAGTAAGGGCAGAAGTGAGAAAGACAACAGTTGGTGACGACATGAAAGTGAAAAAGGACAAAAAGACATTACGAAGGCGAGAATATTATCATTCTATCAAGATGGTTACAAATGCTGTATTATTGTCATTTCTATTTCTCTATCTCAATAACTATCCCTACATT